CGGCCACTGGATGCTGGAGACGGGGGAGGGGCAGGAAGTGCCCCCGCGTTCCCTGCGTCCCCCCGCCTCACTCCGGTCCACTGCACAGGAAGGACTCAGGGTCACTCTTCACCCACTGGGTGCAAAGGAAGGGCAAGAGGGATTGCGGGGAAGCGAGCTCTAGTTAGGACTGGCCTGGAGAGACACCACGGGCTGACCTGGAACTGCATCGTGTGTGCTGAGGAGCCCTGGGCGCCCGGGGCAGCTGGAGAGGAGCCCCAGTGGTCCGCAAAGGGGCGCTGGAGCAGAGCGCTGAGCCAAGCCATGGGGAGGCAGGAATCGTGGAATCAGGGAGGCTCCCGGGACTGGCCCATGCCCAGCGCTGCCCCCTGGGCCGTGGCCGCCCTTCTGGTGGGCAGGGAGGAGGGCAGAGGCCGCCTGTCACGGTCCGCAGCCTCGGAGCCCAGCGCGTCTCGGTGGGTCTGCACGTCCGTGGCTCGCGGCTTCTCTCTGAGTTCTGGCTGCAGAGCTCCGTGGCCAGCAAGCGTCCTTGGTGAGGGTCCATCTTCCCGCGTGCACGGACACTGGGTTTGTGCCCTGGCATAGTCAACCCTGAAAATGTCTGGGGGTGCAAAGTTCTGTGTCCCCGGACCCCACCTGTCCTGCTTGTTCGCTCAAGTCTATTAATTTCCTTCTTCCTTCCTACGAGGCCGCTTTGTCCAGACGTGGCGGCGCCCCGTGCCGTCGTGGCTGGACACGAGTCTTCAGTCACAGGCTTCTTGAATGGGTCCTGGCTCCCTACAGGGGGTCGGAACTGTGCATGAGGGTTGCAGAAAATTTGGCAACGGAGAAAGAAGTCTGGACACACAAGGACCAAAGGCCCATCACAGAGAAGGGGGCCCTGCTCGCTCCACCTTCTTAGTTGGTGCTCCCAGGCGGGGGCCGCAGGCCGGGGGCCCCACTGCGATTCTCGCTCCACTTCGGCAGAATGGGCGTGGGAGATGGCGGACGAGGGGGGTCTCAGGGAAGGCAGCTCGACGTGTGCCCTGGCCACCACCCCGTCTCCCGCTGTCCGTCTGTCCTTTGGGATGTGTCCGTCCATCTGTCCTTTGGGGTGCGTCTGTTCATTTGTCCTTTGGGGTGTGTCTGTCTGTCTGTCCTTTGGGGCCCGTCCGTCCGTCTGTCCTTTGGGGTGCCGAGCCGCGCTTTGTCGGGGAAGGGGCTGCCTGGCGCAGGGGCACCGGCCGTCCCTGACTTGGAAAGTTGCAGGACACGTTGGCCCCTTCATTTGCAACCCACCGGTGTCCTGGGCGGCAGCTGGCGGGAGGGTGGCCTGGAGCCAGCGGCGCCGAAGGCTCGTCCGGGCCGTGCTGGTCCGCGCTGAGTCTTTCCGGCCAGTCGATCGTTCAGCGACTCCGGAAGGTGCGAGCGGGGCCCGTCTTTGAAGGCGCATGTGCTTGTCCGCGCACGCCTGGGTCCGGGTGGGCTGGAGGCCCCCCGCGCTGGGCACCCCCAAGGGACAGACGCTTCCCTCAAGCCTCGCTCAGACTCGCCGCTTCCCTGCCTGGGCAGAAATAACCTCCCGGAGCGGGGCTCCAAAGGCAGCTCCCCCAACCCTTCTGTTTCCTGCCAGAGCACTGTGGTAAGAGTCTGCTCCCCTCTGCAGACGGAGCACTGCAGCGAGCGGTGGGAGGGGGGGAGGAGGGAGAGAAGGAAGCGGGAGGGGCTGCGGGTTCTGCTTTGCTCCCCACTCTGACTGTCCGGCGGGGGCACAGCAGCTGGGGGCGAGGCAGCCCCCTGGACCCTCTCCTTCTCCCAGGGTGCCCGAGGACGGGGCCGGCAGGGGGGCTCAGAGCCCCCCAGTGAGAGCCGCCTGGAATCTTCCAGCAGCGAACTGAACTGTAGGGAGCCCTGCGGGGCACTCAGGAGCGCTGAGCATGCTGCCTGCTCAAGGAGGGGGGAGGGGAAGGGAGGAGGGGGAGGAGGGCGGGAGGGGAGGAGGGGGGAGGGGTTCCGGAGCAGAGAGGCAGCCCCTGACGCTGCTGGTCACGTGTGCGGTTCCCCAGGAGAAGTCCCTGTAAGAACGTCCCTGCCGGCGCGGTTCCCGGTTCCCACGCCTCGCACGCCGCCCCCTGGCGCCCTCCCTGGGAAATGCTGGCAGGCAGGCCAGCCTCCCATCTCTGCCATGGTTCCCCTGGGTGCCGGGCGAGCAGGGACGTACGATCCTGTTCCCCGGCACTGACGTCTGCCGGGGTCTCCCTCTGTACAAGCCCAGGGGTCACTCACGGCAGTGCCGGCCGCATCCTGCTTGGTATCTGGGCGGTGCCCGGGCAGACTCAAGTTCTCACGCCAGCAAGGCAGGTGCTTTGCCCTGAACCACAGCCCTGGGCCACCAGAGGGTGAAAATTATACCAGGGAGCGGGGGGTACAGATGGATGATGGAAGGAAGGAGAGAGGAAGAAAAGAAAGAGGAAGGAAGGAACGAGGAAGGAAGGAGAGAGGAAGGAAGAAAAGAGGAAGAAAGGAAAGCGGAAGGAAGGAGGCAGGCAGGCAGATGAATGGAGGATGGGAGGATGGAGGCATAGGTGGATGTGGATGGAGCGATAGATGGACGGCAGGACAGATGCATGGACATATGGACGCTGCATGTATGTATGGACAAGTGGGAGGACGAATGGATGGATTATTGACAGGCGGAGGGTTGGTGGGTGGGTGGTTGACAGAGGAACGACGGATAGGGGAGAGGGTGGATGGACGGATGGATGAACACATGGACAGAAGGTCGCACGGATGGAGAGGAAGGATGAGGGACGAAGGAAGGGTGGATCGGAGGATGGAGGATGGATAGAATGGGATGGTGGAGGGAAGGATGGATGGACATACGGACAGCGTGTGTCTGTATGGAAGAATGAATAGATGATGGATGAACAGGTGAAAGGATAAATGGAGGGATGGGGAGGGATAGTGGATGGTGGATGCTTGGATGCTGGATGGGGATGGGCGGAATACTGGGTGGAGAATAGACGGATAGAGGGAAGGATGGAAGGATGGATGGACGTACGGCTGCATGAATGGCGGGTGGTTGGTCTGGGCTGGTTTCTCCGGAGGATGACACATCCGCCTACTGTATACTCGGGTGTCTCATTCGGTGCCCGGGGTGGGGCTGTGAACTTTGGCGTCTACGCGGGTTCCTGGCTGTAGAGGTGGACAGGCAGGCCCCCGACTATGAGGGATGGGGACGGTGACGTGGGTGAGGCAAGGGTGGGTGCAGTTCCCGGGTCTCAGGCATCACGGGGCCGAACCCCCAGGCCAGTCGGGGTGTGGGAGGGCCCCTCCCCGCCGTCCTCAAGGCTGTGACAGGGCTGCGATGCGGGGGGCGGGGGGGGCAGACGGGCAGGACAGAGTTAATGTGAGCCCCTGAGGTGGGCTCCAGCCCTGGAGGTGATGAAAGATACCTCAGGGTGGGAGGGTGGCGGGAGAGCGGGAGGGCACAGGGGCACAGCCCGTGCGGTCACCACCTTTGGGGAGCCGGGGGAGGTGGCCAGGCTCAGGCGGGCCCTGGAGGGGGCCTAAGTGGAGGAGCTGGTGCCTGGGGGTCTCATAGCCTCAACGTCAGTGGGACGAGCCGACTGTACCCTGGGCTCTGGCCACTGGGGGCTCCAGCCCGTGTGTCCTCAGCGCCCAGGCGGCCTCCTCTGTGCTCACCCTACCCTGTGCTCTCCCCGTGCTCCCCACAGTGCTCCTCCCTGTGCTCCCCGGCGCTCCTCCCGTGCTCCCCTGGTGCTCCTCCTGTGAGCCCCCCCGGTGCTCATCCCCGTGCTTCCCCTGGTACTCTCCCCAGTGCTCCTCCCGTGCTCCTCCGTGCTCTCTCTGATGTTCCTCCCTGTGTTCCTCCAGTGCTCCTCCTCGTGCTCCCCTCGGTGCTCCCCCGGTGCTCCTCCCCATACTCCCTGATGCTCCTCCCCATGCTCCCCCTGGTGCTCCTCGGGACCCTCCAGGCTCCCCTTCTTGGGAGTGTGATCGTGGTCAGGACGTGCTTCTATGGCCGGATGACCTCTGGGGACCAGGCCCCCCCAAACAAAGCCCTACAGCAGCTTGTGTGGGGTCAGTTCTGGGGCTTCCCTGCGGATCCCTCTTGGCCTGGCCACGCAGCTCTGCTGCCCCCTGGCGTCCGTGGGAGGCCGCGCTCCACAGGGCTGCAGCACCGGGAGTGTGGATGCAGTCTGGGCTGGGGGCCATTTCCACACTTCCTGGCTCCCATCTTTGACCCAAAGGCTGGACATCCAGCTGGCCGGTCCACTGCAGCCCTCCTGAGCCCGTGAAATGCCTACTGGGCAGCCCGTGACGGCTCCCCCCTTTCCCAGCCTCTACTCCAACTAGAGTTATTCCAGAAGCTTCCACCAGAGCCCTCTGCTGCGGGGCGGGTGGAGAGTGTGGAAAATCTTCCGGCCCCACTGGGCACTGGGTGACCTCCTGGGGTCCCCCTGCGTCCTGAGGCCTCTTGCTAACCTGGGCCCACAGGCCTGGCAAGAGACCACAGCCCGGGCACTGGGACTCACCCTGTGTGGTCAGGCGTGCGGGGTCGCCGTGGGGCCGTGGGTGGTGGACACGATGTTGGGGGTGGGGTCCCAGGATGGCTTGGCAGAGGGGCGTTCCCGGACCCCGCAGCATGGCGGGCGCTGTCTGGTGGGCCGCTGCAGAGCCGGATGCCTGTGGGGTCCCCTCCCCGCTCCTGGCCCCTGCCACCACCCTGCCTCCCCCTACTCCCGTGGGCCGCGTGGAGCGGTCCTACCCATGGCAGTGTGTGTCCTGTTGGCCGCCCCGTGGCCCCGTGAGGGCTGCTGCTGTGGCTGAGGGCGGAGGCTGCGGTCTTGGGGCCCCTGGCGCGGCCTGTGAGGGGCTGAGGCCGGTGCTGAGCCCCGGGACGGCGAGGCGGGAGGGGGGCTGGGCGTGTGGAGCCTCGGCGAGGAGACGGGTTCTGGTCGTGTGGGGCCACTCAGGGCTTGGCATCTCCTTTGCAGATGAGATGGCGGAGACCCCCCCAGCACGCCCCGAGTATCTGGTCTCAGGGACCCGCACGCCCCCCGTGAGGAGGAACAAGTTGGCCTCGCTGGGTCGCATCTTCAAGCCCTGGAAGTGGAGGAAGAAGAAAAGTGAGAAGCTCAAGCAGACGACGTCCGGTGAGCGGCGGCGGGGGTGGCTGGGGGGACACGTGGCTGTCCCGTGGCTGGGTGACGCATGGCTGTCCACGGCTGGGAGGGGACACATGACTGTCCCGTGGCTGTCCAACATGCGGCTGTCCAGTGCCTGGGGGGACATGTGGCTGTCCCATGGCTGTCTGTGGCTGGGGGGGGCACATGACTGTCCCGTGGCTGTCCGACACGTGGCTGTCCCGTGGCTGGGGGATGGGGTGATGCCCCTGGGGACACTCACAGCTGCCCTGGGCTGCTGACCAAGTGTCCTGGAGGCCACCCTGGGTGCAGCTCTACCTTGGCAGTGGGCTCCGGGGCCCACCAGCTCTGGGCCGCCTGCACTCGGTCCCCCGCCCCCGCGTGCGCCTGGCCCATGGCCTGTGCCGTGCTGTGACCGCCGTCTGTCCATGTCCACAGCGCTGGAGAAGATGAGCAGCAGGCCGGGGCGTGAGGAGCTCATCCGGAAGGGGCTGCTGGAGATGATGGAGCAGGGTAGGGCGCGGCACGGGCGCGGGGACGCGGGGCACGGTCTTGGCATCCCCGGGGGTCTTCCCGGGTGCTGTGGTGGCGTTGAGTGGGGGGTCGGGCTCAGGGGCGCCGTGCGGCCGGGGGTGGCGGTGGGCGGGGAGCCCGGCCTGGGCTGACGGTGGCATCTCCCCGCAGAGGCCGACAGCAAGGCCTGCAACCCCGACGGGGCCCCCCCGGCCCCCCAGCAGGAGCCGCTCGGACCTCAGGACACACCGCCCGGGGAGACCGAGGCTGCCGGGCCAGAGCAGGCGTCCCCAGCTGCCCCACAGTGCCCTGAGGACCAAGGTACTGGCTGGGAGGGGACGGGCCGGGCTGCCGTGTACAGCTTCTCTGGGAGGGCGGGGGGGGGCCCTCTGGGGGGCCCCAAGACTGGCCACGCTGTGGGCACCCGGGGAGCTGTCCACCCGCTCCCTACAGTGGCTGGGGGTCAGCGGGGCAGTGTTGCTGGCCATGTGGCCATGGGGGCCGTCCCGTGAGCCTGCGCTTACGAGCCTGAGCCAGTGGAACAGAAACGGGTGCGAGTGCTGGACGGGATGGGCTGGGCTGGGCCGCAGCTGTGGGGGGTCTCGGGCTCATGCCAGTGTGGGAAGCACATGGTCTGCGGGTTCAGGTCCCAGACGGCTCCCCACGGGGGCTGGGCTGTTCACTGCTGGGTCTCTGGACACACTGACCACTGGGGCATCCTGGGACACCCCCTTGGGCCCCGGAAGAAATGGGGGTCACAGGTGACCCCAAGGGAGTGGCACGGAGGTGGATGCTGGCATCAGCCTGGCCTGGGGGGGACGTAGCTGTCCCCATGGCTGAGCTGTGTGGCCTTGGACAGGTCAGTCGACCTCTCTGAGCCTGGGTGCCCCCGAGTCCCCCTACCTGCCCTTGTTTCACTTCCTGTCCTGTCCCCGGCGTGTCCACCGTCTGTCCTGCACGGAAGCTGGGCGGTGCTTGGAGGCTGCAGCGCACCAGGTCTGGACCCTGGGTGCTGCGTGACTGAGCCCAGCACACAGCAGGGCACAGCCCCAGTGCTGGACCCAGGCGTGTCCTGCCAGGCCGGGGACGCACGTGGGCGAGGAGCGCCCCCTGCTGGCCAGAGCGGGGCGGCCTGTAAGACAGAAGCAGCCCAGGAGCTTGGGGACCCCGGGTCAGCCTCACTGCCCGTACCCCCAGCTCACCCCATCTCGCCCCTCTGCCTGGCTCCTGCCCGGCCCAGCAGGGCTGGGTCCCCAGTGTGGTCACTGTGGTCAGTGGTCAGGGGCCCCTCCCGTCATGGCCTGAGGCAGCCGGAGTCCCCCAAAGCCGCCCCCGCAGGTGTCCAGCCAGACCCGGGAGACGCTGCCTCAGAGGCCTCCTGAGGACCCCTGGGTGTGGCTGGACAGTGTGGGCGACTATGGGGTGGACAGCGGGGGGGGGGGACAGGGGCACTGGGAGAGGCTGCTCTGAGGCGCCCAGTCTCACGGGAGAGAGCCCGACCCTGAGCATCAGGCGGGTCAGGGGCCCCTGGGGAAGCCGAGTGGGAGATCAGGAAAGGTCAAGGGTCAGCCAAGGTGAGACTAAGCCTGGGGCTGGTGGGAGGGGCGGAGTGTGACAGGCCCCGAGGCCTGAGGGGTCAGCTGGGTCACCTCCTTCTGCCCGGCTGACCCCAGGACCTTCCCAGGGACCCTCAGGTCTCATGCAGCGTGGGAGGAGCCTCACTCTGGGGTCCCCTGGGGGCCCCCACCGTGCGACCCGGTGGCTGAGGCGGGACCCTCACCAGTCGCCCCCTAGCACAGTGTCCGGCCCTGGGGTCCTCTGGGGGCCAAGCTCGGAGCCCTGTGCTGGGAGGAGGGTGACCCACCCACATCCCCATGTCATACCCACCCGCCTCTGCTGAGTCTGGGGGCCCTCGGGTTTGTGGGAGCCCCCGGTCACCCCATTCGCACTAACGTTTTTGATTTTTGTTTGTTTTTTAATTTGGGGGCCAGACCTGGTGAAGCTCAGGGGTTCCTCCTGGCTCTGCACTCGGGAGTTACTCCTGGCGGTGCTCGGAGGCTCTCTGGGCTGCCGGGGAGTGAAGGGTCAAACCCGGGTTGCCAGTGTGCGACGCAGACGCCCCCCCTCGCTGCCCTGTCACCGCAGCCCCCCATGTCTGCACCAACATGAGTCTCCCACCAAGAGGCAGCGGGCAGAGACGTCTCTCCCCGGAAGAGAGCAGGAGGCGGGGGGAAGGGGTGATGCATGGTGGGATTTGAGCTGCGTGAAGGGAAAGGATGGGGTAGCCTGAGAGCTTTAGGGGTCTGGGCTGGTGTGGGAGGGCTGGGCCCCTGCAGATGCCCACTCCCTCCAGGGGTCTCAGCCTGGAGGTGGGGGTCTCAGCCTGGGGATGGGGGTCTCAGCCTGGAGACGGGGGTCTCACCCTGGGGATGGGGGTTTTAGCCCGGGGATGGTGGGCTCAGCCCGGGGATGGGGTGGCTGTGTCTGAATGTCTGCCCCAAAATTGTCACCAGCATGCAGCACTCCCATGAGTGCTCCCCCGGGCACTGGTGGGTAAACCGAGGCGGGAGATGAGGCGGCCCAGCAGGGTCCCGAGCACGCGCAGGGCAGCCCCGCGGGCTGGACCCTCCAAGTTCTCTGACCCTCGTCTTGTCTCTGACGCAGCCGTGGACCCGTCATCCGTGCCAGTGGCGTCCCCGGGCGATGCCGACGCCGAGAGCCCCGTGTCCACCGCGGACGAGCCCTCAGAAGCCTTAGCGGGGCCCGATGCCCCGGCCAGTCCTGGGGGGCAGCTCCCTAGCCCCCCGCTGCTGCCCACGCCACCGCCCAAGGCAGGCGCCAAAGCGGGGAAGCCGCTCTCAGGTGAGCTCCCGTGGGGGCTGGGCTCTGCGCGCTGGGGTCCACAGGGTCTGGGCCTCCGACCCTCAGGACACTCCCCCATATCATGGGCCCGAGGGCAGGACCGGGGGCCGGCCAGGCCTGGCCAGGGCCCCCAAGTCCCGGGTGCGGCCATCACTACCCAAGGCTCGGCATCGGGGCCATCCCTTGGCCGTGTCAGGACACAGTCTCGGAAGATGGTTCCAGACCCAGTTCCAGGCCCTGGGAGGAGACCCCGACGCCCTGCTCAGCTCGGGACCCCTGTGCCCCACCCCCCTGCTCTCCTGCAGGGACATTCCTCCTCCACTCACTGCCCAGAGCCCCCCCCCCCCCCATCACAGCATCTTCAGGACCAGCCCCCGGCCCAGCTGCCGTGGGGGTCAGTGCCACTCCCCAAGCCCAGGGCCACTGGAGGCCAGGGTGGGCGCTTACTTGGATTTTTTCTTTCGGCCCCAGACCACATTTAGTGGCTCACCTTAGAGGACGTGTGCTTCCGCGTGTGGCCACTAGGCGGCAGCAGGGGGCCAGGCTCCTGCGGGCTTTCAGGGTCGGCCTGGTGGTCTCTGGCTGAGCCCAGGACCCCCAGTCCTGCAGGTCCCTGAGGACCAGCCATGTCGGCAGGTCCGACGTTGTTTGCTTAAAGCCTCGTCACGTGTTGCCAAGATCCTAAGTATTAGCTCCTGGAGTCTGGGTGCGGCCGGGGGTCCTCCTGGGGTCCCTCCTGGGTCATGCACAGCCAGGCAGCTCCTGAGGCCTCGTCCACTCTCCACTTTGGCCAGCAAGGCCTGTGACCCGCCTGGTCTGTGGCCTGGCCTGGGGTAGCAAGCAGCCCGTGCAGGGTGGGGGGATGTGGTTTCTAGGTGCTTCTCTTGCCCGCACGGCAGAGCCTGGCAAGCTCCCCGTGACGTATTTGATGTGCCAGAGACAGTAACAACAAAGTCTCCAATGGAGACGTTACTGGGCCCCCTCGAGCGAATCGACGATCAACGGGGGGGGCCTTTACTTTACTTACTTAATTACTCTCTGCTGAGCCTCAGTTTCCTGACCCGTGGGACACTGTCCCCATGCAGGACTGCGGAGACCCCGTGGTGCCCCAGCCAGGCCCTCTGTGTCCACTGCAGGTCTGCAGCCAGAGGCCCTGGGCACAGACCTCAGGGGCATCCTGGGTGACTCTGCTTCCCACCCCCCCGCAGTGCTCAGCCCCCCCTCCCTCAGGCTGTGCTCTGGGGGCCTTGTGGAGCGGGGGGGGGGGGGTCCGAGCTTCCTCAGAGGCCTTGCAGGGCCAGGGGGTCCCGAGCTTCCTCAGGGGGCACTGCAGGGCGTGTCTGTGGATGCAGCCGGCACCTGGTACACACAGTGGGGAGCAGAACCTGCCAGCCCAGACTGGGGGTCTGGGGAATCCCGCCGGGGACTGGGACAGGCCTGGGCAGGGGTGGATGCTGTGCTCTGTGCCCGGTGCCGTGTCCAGGAGCGCCCACTGCCACGTCCCGGGTCCCCAGAGAGGCGCGTCCCCAGGAAGCTGTGTCTGGGTGTGGGGGGGGGGGTTGCCTTCCCCGGTGGGGGCCACAGGGCTGTCGGGGGCACCTCCGGTGGCCGGGAGAGGGGCAGCAGGGGCTCCTGGGCAGGTGTCTGGCCCTCACCTCCTGCCCGTGCCCCTGCACTCCAGGCCCGGCCGTGCCCTTCCATGTGGCCCAGCTGTCCAGCCCCTCGGGGTCCCCGAGCCTCCCCGCCGTGCACTGCCCACGGCCCCCGAGCCGCGTCATCGAGGAGCTGCACCGGGCGCTGGCCACCAAGCACTGTCAGGGCAGGTGAGCGGGACATGGAGCCGCGGCTGGGGGCGTGGGGGGGCAGGGCCAGGGCAGGGTGCGGGCGCAGGGGTGTGTCGGGGGGTGGGGAGGAGTCCGGGGAGGGGGTGCGGGAGTGAGGGGTGCGGGGGTGTGGTGGGAAGGTGAGGGCTTACGGGACACGCGTGCATATGAGTCTGTGGGGGTTCGGGTGTGCATGGGGTGTGCAGGTGTGGGGGGGGTTGTGATGCTGTGTTTGGGGGTGTGCAGGTGTGTGTGGGGGTGTGGGAGGTGTGCGGTGTGTGTTGAGTGGTGTGTGTGCATTGTGTGTTGTGTGGGTGCGTGGGGTTATCTGTGGCTGCATGAGGTGTGTGTGGTGTGTGGTTGTGCCCCTGGCCCCGCCCCTCGCTGTCCCCAGGTTCTGGGGCCTTCGCTGCTCTCGCCCGGCCCCCTTTCCCCCGGGAGGCCCCTCTGACCCTGCCTCCAGGTCCGCTGTCCTGGTCCTGTGGAGGGACCACGGGGAGGGGACGGGCGTGTTTGGACCCGCCTCGCTGCCCGAGCTCAGGGGCACCAGAACCGCCCGCGGCACCCTTGGGTGGGGGAGGGCCGAGCTGGGCCCCTGGGGGAGGGGGCGGCCGCACTCACCTGAGCTGCCCTGTCCAGCTTTCAGGGACGGGAAGGCAAAGGGTCCCCGAAGAAGCGCCTGGACGCACGTCTGTCCCGGACACCAAGCATGGAGCAGGCCAAGGAGCAGAGCTGCAGCCCCGACGGGGCGGCCGGCAGCCGGCAGGAGTCGGAGGAGGACAAGGAGAACTTGCTGGGCAGGCCCGAGCTGCGGGACGACGACCTGCTGCTCTACCAGGACCCCGAGGTGCTCGACGACTCGGTCATCGCCGGTGAGGGCGCGGAGAGTGGCGGGGAGGGTCGAGGCCCGGAGGCGTGTCTGGATCGCATCTGCCCAGGACTCGTGGGGTCACTTGGCCCCAGCCCCGCCGCACCCCTGGTGTCCAGGGCGGGGCGGTCGTCCGCGGTGGCCCCTGTGTGCCCAGTGGGCGCAGCACCTCCCCCAGGCCCCGGATCCCAGGCCAAGGTGACACAGACGCCCGGGAGGTGGCAGGGCCTCAGCAGCGTGAGGGCTCCCGAGGCTCCCAGGGACACCTCGAGGCTCCTGGGGCCGGGGGTGGGGGGAGGAAAGCCAGAGCGGATCCGGTTCCTTCATGCGTGTGTGTGTGTGTGTGGGGGGGGGGGGGGGTGTGGCCATGGATCCGCCTAGTTTATCAGTATCTCTGGTTTCCGGGTCACACCAGGGATGCTCAGGGCTTCCTCCTGGTGGTGCTCAGGGACCCTGTGGGATGTCCGGGTCCAACCCAGGTGGCCGCATGCCCGGCCAGGCCCTCCCCGCGGTGCTGTTGCTCCAGCCCTGAATTTCCGAGCCTTCCTGGGGCCACACTCCCAGGGGCCAGGCTGCCCAGCCGGCCTTCCCATGCCAGGTGCCCCGCTGGGCCGTGGTTCCGCCTGGTGGAATGGAGCCCCCTCCCCCCCACGCTCCCTCCCCGGCCCGCCAGACCCTTTAAGAAGCGGTTTCACTGCTGCCTCGAGTGTCGAGTGTCGGGCCTGGACAGAGCCAGAGCCTGGGGTGGTGGGGGTGGTCCCAGGTCTGCAGAGACCCCGGTTTGTCCGGGAGAGAGCAGTGACCCGGGGCCTCCGGGAAAGCCCTGGTGGCCACTGAGTGTGCGACCTCACTCTGCCCTCACTGGGGCTCAGGCGCGATGGACGCTCCCGAGAAGGTGTCCAGGTGTCCTCAGCAGTGAGACCCCCGCCCTGTCCCCCCCTCCCTCGGGGCAGCTGGAGCAGCACCAGTGGCCGGCTGCAGCCTCTGCCTGAAATGCAGTAACCTGAGCTGCAGCTGCCCACCATGGGCACGAGGTGGGCCGCTGGGATGCAGGTGCTCCCTTCTATTGTTCGTGTGTGTGAGTGTGTGTCTGTATGTGTGTGTTGTGAGCGTGTGTGTGAATGTGTGATTGTGTGTCTGTGTGAATGTGTGTGAGTGTGTGTCTCTATGAGTGTGTGTTTATGTGAGTGTGTATGTGTTGTGAGTGTGTGTCAGTGTGTGTTTGGATGAGTGTGGGTGTATGTGAGTGTGTTCGTGTGTGTCTGCGTGTGTTTGTGTAAGTGTGAGTATATGTATGAGCATTTCAGTGTGTATGTGAGAGTGTGAGTATGTGAATGTATGTGTGAATTTGTGAGTGTATGTGAGTGTGTATGTCAGTATGTGTATGCGAGTGTGTGAGAGTGTCTGTGAGTGTGTGAGTCTGTGTGTGTATGTGAGTGAGTGTGTGTGTGAGTGTGTGTGAGTGTGTGTGAGTGTGTGAGTGTGTGTGTCTGTGAATGAGTCTGTGTGTGTCTGTGTGTGAGTCTGATTTTGTGAGTGTGTGAGTGTGTGAACGTGTGTGTCTGTGAGTGAGTCTGTGTGTTATGTGTGTCTGTGTGTGAGTGTGATTTTGTGTGTGTGTCTGTGTATGTGAGTGTGTGAGTGTGTGTGAGCGTGTGTGTATGTGAGTCTGTGAGTGAGTGTGTCTGTGTATGTGAGTGTGTGAGTATGTGAGTGTGAGCGTGTGTTCTGTGAGTGTGTGTATGTAGTGTATCTGTGTGTGTGTGAGTGTGTAAGTGTCTGGGTGTGTGAGTGTGTCTGTGTGTGAGTGTGTCTGTGTGTGTAGTAGGGGGTCCCAGCAGTGCTCCGGGACCGGGGGGCCACTCCTAGGTTTCTGGGCTCCTCTCGGACCCGCCCCCTCGGAGCCGTCTCCCTGGGACAGCGAGTGTCGGTGAGGGACCGCGAGGGCCTCCCCTGCCCCGGGTGTGTGTGTGGGGGGGTGTCCCGCGTGGCTGCAGAGGCCGTGCCTGACCCCGGCCCGCCCCCAGGCACGCTCCCGCGCTCGTGCAAGAAGGAGCTGCTGGCCGTGAAGCTGCGTGGCCGGCCGAGCCGGCAGGAGCTGGAGGAGAGGAACATCTTCCCGCGCAGGACGCCCGAGGAGCGCCAGGAGCTGCGGCAGCAGATCGAGACCAAGCTGTGCAGGTGAGGGCCGCGCCCCCGGGGCTGCGCTGGCGGGACCCCACGACGGCGTGAGGGACGGTGCGCGGCCGCTGTCCCGTCACCACGCCCAGGGGCCGGCCTCCGCTCCCACCTCCCGCCCCACCCTGCCTCCCCAGGGACCCTCGACCCGCCCCAGGGGGCTGCGCTGCTGCGTGGGCATCAGGAGAGTGGACACGGCCCACCTCTGCCCCTTGGGGTCCCCGAGCACGTGGCCTGGCCCCCGAGGACGCGCCCTCCACCGAATCTCTGTCCCCACCCGTGTCTCGGGTCTCTGTCCCTGTGTCCGGGTCTCTGTCTCCGTGTCTGGGTCTCTGAGACCAGTCCGCCGGGAGACCCCTGGGCCCTGGCTGTGGGGCAGAGCGCCCCCAGCAGTCTCTCCATATCCGGTCATCAGGACGGGCCCCGGGAGGGAGGCGGCCGGAAGGGTCCTCGCAGGAGGAGGCCGGGCTGGGAACTCGCCTCCTGGGGCGTGGAGGGCCAGGCCGGGCCCTGGGTGTGGTGGGGGCTCTGCATCTCTTCCAGAAGGTGCTTCAGGGCTGGTGGGGCCCCTCTCAGGGGCCCGTGGACAGGGCTGCCCCTCTCAGGGGACATGGGGGGGCTTCTCCTTCTAGGGGGCTGTGGGCGGGGCTGCCCCTCTGCCCTGGAGGCCCTTCAGGTCCTGCCCCCGCCAGGCATCCTCTCTGCCCCTGGGGCAGTGCTCGGGGGTCTCGGCCCGTGTGCCCCCACTAACCGCAGGCAGCGTGGGCTGACTGACCATGACTGGCCTTGGTGGGGATGCCCAGGGGCGCCCTGCAGGACTCAGCTGTCCCAGGTTGGGCACCCTGAGCTCTGTCCCCTGATGCGGGTCAGCCCCAGTGCCCCCCTGGCCGCCCTGACCAGCCATGCCACTTCCTGTCAGCTCTGGGCCTCATGACCCACTCGCCCCTCCCCCCCAGATGTTTACCAAACTCCCACTTGGTGCTGGCCCCTCCCCCTGTCATGGCCTGGACCCTCCATCACCCTGGTCCCGAGTGGCCGAAATGGGGGCCCCCCTGGGGGGTTGTCACGGGTGGGGCGGCAGCTGTGGGGAGCAGGGGGAGGGGGCAGGGGTGACCCTGGGGTTCAGCTGGGCAGGGCAGCAGCTGGCCGCGGGCACCCTCGGAGACTCAGAGGGACAGCCGGACCTCCTTCTGCAGAGCCGAGCCGGGCTGGGGTCTAGCTGCGCTCAGGGCGGGCGTGCGGGAGCGTGTCACGTGCCCACGCTGTCCTCTGTGCTGACGGCCCGTCCCGCCTCTCATGCCAGGCTGTTTGGGGCCCCGCGTGCTGCCCTCTCTCTGCCCGCTGGTGGGCGTGGCATGGGGGGCAACCCCCACAGCAGGCAGACGGTGGGCACTGCAGGCAGAGGGGGCCCGGCCTGCCCTGGACAGCCCCGGCGAGGGCTGGCACGCGGCCCGGCCCGTCTGGGGCTCCTTTGGCTCCCGCCTCTCCGACGCTCACTTCGGGCTAAATGATGCAGCTCCCGTTGCCATGGAAACCTGCAGCTGGGCTTCGATTTCGGCCTGAACCCCGAGACCATGTTTTCTGGTGCAGGGGTGGGGCTCCCCACCCTGCTCGTGCCAAGGGCTGCAGCTGGGCCCCGTGAGGTGCCTGTCGGCCTCTGACTCGGGACTGTGGCCCCGTGGCTGCCCCCGCCGCCCGCCGGCGTGTTCTGGACGCTGCAGTTTGTCCTGCCGAGGAGACCCTCGTCCACCACCTTCCCCCTCCTGTCGCTGCGCTGAGGAGTCCAGGGCGGCCGGACGAGGTGCCCTGCAGGGCAGCGGGGCCCTGCCGGGTGCAGAGTGAGCGGGACAGGCCTGTGGAAGGATCCAGAAGGAGCCTGAGCTGCAGGGCCTGGGGAGGAGCGTCCAGAGGGAGGTGGCCAACACGGCCCTCCTGCCCCTCCAGGCCTGGGGAACGTTCTGGCCTTTGCCGGAACGCTGGGCTAGACACCTAGTACAGGACAGCTCAGCACTACGGCTTGGTCCCAGCACCCCGCGGGCTCCTGCGTGCCCAGCAGGGCCCTGTGCCCTCAGCCGGCCTGAGAATGTGGCACCCTGGGGCCCAGCACGGCACCGCGGGCTCACGGGACAGGAACCCGAGCCCAGGAGAAGCACACTGCAAGGAGGTCCCCAGGGGGGCTTCTGAGGAACGTGCAGGGGTGGGCGCTGGGCAGCTCTGAACAGAGCCCAGGGAGAGGGGTCAGGCGGGTGCCCCCGGGAAGGGGCACCTGTTGCACCGTCCTTGCCCATCACCTGCCGCAGGGGCTGAGCCTGAGGGAGTCTGTCCCGGCCCCCGGGGCGCTGACTCGCTCTGGAGCACCGTGGGAGTGCTCCCTCAGTGACCCTCCAGCCAGTGCTCTGCCCGGCACGCCTCCTCCTACTGCGCCCAGAGCGCGCGGCTGCCGCGGGCCTGGGACATGGACTCCAGGAGAGACGGGGCTGCCCCCACCCCCCACCCCCACCCCTGTCCCCTAGCCCCCTGTCCACTCCTGGGCCTGCAGCAGGACAGAGCAGCCCCCAGGAGCTCGTCCTGGCGGAGACTTGGGGATGTGAATGGTGGGGCTGCGGGGGAGAGTATCCAGCCCCTTCTCCACTCTCGGGGGGCATGGGGGGGCTCTGCATCCTGGCAGGGAGCACGCCTCCCACAGCCAGCTGCCTCTGTGACCCCCGCCCACATCCGTGTCCCCTGCCCACCAGGAGGCCTCCCGGAGCAAGGGCCCGTGGGCTCCCGCAGGGCCTGGTGCCTTCACAGAGGCACATCCGGCAGTGCCGCCAGTTCTAGAACCTTCCTCTCCCTGACGCAGCCCCTCCCTCCAGGCCCCGGGTGCGTGCCGTGTTAGCCTGTGGGGGTGACTGGGTTTGAGCCCCCTTGGCGTGGCCGCCCCCGTGTTTCCTCCGTGCTCTGTCCCCTGACCCTTCCCGTGGCCACAGCCACCGACCATGTCTCTGCGCCCCTCAGCACTGGCACCGGCACCCTCGGTGTCCATCCTTGTCCTCTCCACCCCTGCGTGGTGCCCACTCTCCCACCCAGGGAGTCCCGGGTCTCCCGTCTGGCGGGGTGGGTGGGGCGGGGCAGCACCGCTTCCCGGGGGCTTCCTGGGTCCTTCCCGAGCTCCTCTGACGAGCCGGCGCTGCGCGGAGCTGTGCCACCCCCACGGACGGGACTGGTGGGCTTGCCCTCTGGTATGCCCCGAATGTGGGCTCAGCTCAGGTGGGCGTCGCTTGGGGGGGTGAACGGGGGTGGGCAGGAAGTGAGGGGCCATGGGCAGCCTGTGCCCTGGGCGCCCGGGGTCTCAGGCTTGGGTGCTGCTCTCCCTGGGGGCTCTGCGCTGGCCCACATGCCCGACCTTGGCCGGCTCGGCCGTTCCCCTGGGCTCCCACGCCTCCAAGTTGGCAGGCCAGGAGGAAGCCCACCACCCAGGGAACGCCCGCCCAGGGGGACGCCCACCCAGGGGACGCCCGCACAGGGAGCGCCTCTCCTGACCAGGACCCTCGTCTGGCCAGCACTGCCCTGGGCCCTGCAGACATCCACCCCGGCCGGCCGCGCCTGCCCCTGCAGCTGGCCCTGGGGTCAGCCAGGCGCGGGTGGCCCAGCCCAGGGTGGGCAGCTGGCGGGGCCAGGGACCCAGTGACCCCACGGCCCAGCTACCCCATGGCCAGGAGGGGGCCAGTCGCACTGGGGGTCAGAGGCCTCCCGAGGGACCTGGGGAGGCCCCGTCCGAGGCAAAGTGTGAGTGTGTCAGAGCATGTCCGAGTGTGTCTGAGCATGTGTCTAAGTATGTGTGTCTGTCTAACTGGGTGTGTCTGCGTGTATATGTATGTTTGTGTGTCTGTGGGTGTGTGTCTAAGTGTGTCTGTCTGTGTTTGTCTGTGTGTGTCTGCGTATGTGTGTGTGTCTTTGTGTATCTTGTCTGCAGATGTGTCTGTGTGTGCATTTAAGTGTGTCTATGTATTTGTCTAAAAGCAAGTCTAAGTGTGTGTCTGTGTGTCTAAATGTGTGTGATGCGTATGTGCGTGCATCTAAGGGTGTGACTATGTGTCTGTGTATCTAAGTGCATGTGTTTCAGTTTTTGTTTGTCTAAGTGTGTGTGTCTGTGTATTTGTCTAAGTGTGTATGTGTGTGTCTGTGTGTCTAAGTGTGTGTGTCTGTTTGTCAAAGTGTGTGTCTGTCTAAGTCCTGTGTCTGTGTATGTTTGTCTAAGTGTGTGTGTCTGTGTGTAAGTGTGTGTATCTGTATGTGTCTGTGTGTCTAAGTTTGTATGTGTCACTGTGTGTTTGTCTAAGTGTGTGTGTGTCTGTATGTGTGTCTGTGTATCTCTAAGTGTGTGTGTGTGTCTGTGTGTCCGAGTGTGAGTGTGTGAGCGCCTGACGTGGGGCCGGGGCGGAGCTGAGCCCCCCTTGCCCTGTGCGGCTGTGTGCGGGCCGGGCTATAAATAGGTTTCGGGGCAGCCTCGGCGGTGGCGGCGGCGGGCAGGGCCCTCTGCGGCACGGGCTCTGCCGGCCGGGCTGAGGCACGACTCTGGCCGCCCCCAGGGCAGCGTTATTTAAGGAGGGATAATTGGGGCTGATGAGGCTCCTCTCCCGACAAGCCCCTGTATTGTTGATGCATCTTTGCTTCTGGCCGCGGCCCCCCAGGCCGGGAAGGCGCTCGCTGCCTGCGTGACTCCGGCGTGGGGTGCAGCCCCGCCCTCCCGGGATCCCGCTGGGTTGGCGGCTCGGCCCCCGCGGCGGGGTCTGCGCCGGCACCGCCCTCGCCTCCACGCCCCGCTGCCTCCCCCGCCGGCAGGAGAAGGGCTTCCCCGGCGAGGGGCGGCCATGGGACCCCCACGTGGGCGGCCCAGTGCCGCGCGCTCGGGGCTGTGACGGCCGGGACGCGGAGGGGCGGGTTCCTCCCGGCCCCCGTGGGCCCGGCCGGCTGCGATGGTGCAGAACGTGGTCCTGGTGTTTTTCCGCAGGCGGCTGAGCCAGAGACCCGCCGTGGAGGAGCTGGAGCGGAGGAACATCCTCAAGCGTGAGTCGCCGCCACGCGTGGCCCGGGTGGGGTGTGCGAGGGGGTGTGCCTGCGTGCGTACGTGTGCACGTGTGTGCGTGTGTGTGTATGTCTGTGCGTGTGTGCATGCGTGCATGTGTGTGCATGTGTGCGTGCATGTGTGTGTACGTGTGTGCGTGCATGCATGTGTGTGCGTGTGTGTATGCGTGTGTGTGCATGTGTGTGTGTGTGCGTGTGTGTGTGCGTGTGTGTGTGTGTGTGTGCGTGTGTGTGTGCATTTGTGTGCAACCTCTGGGGCTGGGTCTCGGTGGGCTCTGAAGAGAGTGGGCCCCCACAGAAGAGACCCCCTTCTGTTGGTCCCTGGGCTGGTCTCTCTCTGGCGAACAGCCGCAGAGCTCAGGGGTCCGGCTGGGGCTCCCCTTGCGTGAGACCCTCCACAGCAGCGGCACCGTCTGTCACAGCGTCTGCCCGGCACCTGTGACCGGGAGCCACAGCACGTGGGGTCTTTAGTCTGCCCCCAGCCAGGGGAAGGAGGCGCCCGCTTCCAGGCAGCTGGGGGAGTTTGCAGGGGTGGGCCCTGTCCCGGCCCTCCTTGGCTGGTTGCGCCTCAAGGTTTCAGGGAAGTCAAAGTCAGGGACCCCGACACCAGGCTTCTGGGGGTCCCCCTGCTCCCCCAGGACCCTGGGCTTCCTGGAGGTGGTGGCTTGTCGCTGATCTTCAGTCTTCTAACCGGCCCCAGAGTGCAGACGGCGGCCCCCTGTCAGCCGGTGCCTACAGTGGAGGGGTGGGGGGGGGGTCCTCAAACTCTAGTCTGGAATGCGAGTTCCAGAACATTCTCAGAGTGTCCCTGCAGGTCTGGAAGGTTCTCAAGGCTTCCGTTCCCCTGGAGAATGCGTCTTTCCCTGCACCTGGTTTGCAGGCGCGTGAGTTCCTGGGCGGGAGACTGCACCTCAGTGATCCCTCCCGCAGAGGGCCAGGGAGACCCTGCTGGGCACCCCTTGGCCCCTCCCAGTGCCCCCGCTGGGCACCCCTGCCCCTCCCCCGCTCCTCGTGCCCACTCCCGCCGGCCTTCCTGGAGACACGCTCGCTGGGACGGCTGGGAGGCATCACCGACCCGCATCGGAGCATCGAGAGGGAGTCCACTTCTCACAGGGACTCCATGGAGGGCCACTGCGGCCCCCGGCGGGCGGGGCTGGCCTTCCCTGGGGGCTCAGCGCGCCGCTGCCCCCAGCCCACGCTCGGAAGCCCTCCAGCGGGCGCGGGCTTTGTTCCGCCCAGAGCTCGGCCCGGCCCTGGGGCATCACGCTGGCTCGTGGGCGCTTCTCATTGTCACCGAGGAGGAGCACACGGCCTTGGGGACAGACTGTGCATGCGTCACCGCCCGGTGCTGGCCGCAGCCCTGCTCAGGGACCCCCTTCCCAGGTGGCCGTGGCTGGCTTCTCCGGGAGGGGTGTGAGTTGGGGGCCTAGTGCCGGGCGGGGTCCGGGGATGGCCCGGCCACCAGGGAGGCCGTCCCGGGCTCGGGTCCTGGTGAGTCCCAATGCAGAACGGGGCGGTCCGGCCGGGCCGAGGAGGGTGGGCTCCAGCCCCGAGAGTGCCCCGGGCCACTGTGCCCCGAGTGTCCTGTGACCGCCTGGTCCCTGTGGTGCCTCTTCGCTGAGACACGACGGCCAGTCCCTCCACTCCGCATGTGCGGACCCACCCGAGCACAGAGCATAACGGGGCTGCCTCCCGCCCCAGACCCCCACGCCCAGTGGCCTTTGCTCTGAACATGCGGAGGGACAGGGGCTGACAATGATCCCACGTGTCTCCCAGCCGCACCTCCGGCCCTCAAGGCTCAGCCCCGTCATGGCCACGGGCTGATGGTCTCGTTCCAGGAAGGAGGAGCCGCGTTTCGGGGCTTTATTTAGCCGCAGAGTCCCAGGAATAGGGCCTGCGATCTCCCGGCCGCCGGGGACGCTCCGTCTATTTTTAGCTCGAGTGTGCGTGTGAGCTCAGTGGAGTGGGGCCAGCCCAGCCCAGGAGCCGGGAGCCGGTTCCCGTTGCCCAGCCTCTCCTCGGACATGGCAGTGTCCCTGTGACTGTCCCGGGAGCCCTGGGAGGATGCAGGTGCTGCCCACCTCGGGCCTCTCCCCCCTGTTGGACGAAGGGCCACCCTGGACCCTCCACTGGGGCCTGCAGGCAGCACAGGCGGGGGCGGGACGCAGAGATGCCATGACCGCCCCTGTGTCCCCTGGCTGTGATGGGGGAGGACCAGGGAGAGGATCAGCGGGAGGATCAGGGGAGCACTAGAGGGGAGGATCAGCAGGAGGATCAAGGGAGCACTAGAGGGGAGGACCAGCGGGAAGATCAGGGGAGCACTAGATGGGAGGACCAGCGGGAGGATCAGGGGGAGCACGTGGGGTTGCACAGCCTCTTCCTTCTGCACAGAGCCGGCCCGGGGTGAGGCACAATTTGGAAGGGGGGACAAGTGGCCCCTGCGCCCTGGCCCGGGGACAGAGACTCACCCTCATGTTCTCGCTCTCTGTCTCAGAAAGGAACGACCAGACGGAGCAGGATGAGCGGCGGGAGATCAAGCAGAGACTGACGAGAAAGGTACCGCCCCCCCCCCCCCCGCCCCATCCCATCCGGTCATGAGGGGCTGCCCCAGGTCCTGCCCCCGCCCCATCCTGGCTGCAGCTCCTGACGAGGGTCAGTTGCCGCGAGCGAGAGGGCCCACACCTGACCCTGCGCTGGGGACCCAGGTGGTCCCACTTCCCCCCGGAGGGCGGCGGTGGTGGCGTCTCCTCGGGATCTGGGTACAGGGGAGGTGGGTGCAGTCGGGGCTTCACTCGGGGCCCGTGGCAGCCCTGTCAGTGGACGCTCCTGCAGGCTGTGGTCTGGGCCCCGTGTCCCGCCCTGGGCAGGGGTCACTGCCAGGGTCTCTGGTCCTGTCCATGTTCTATAACTCCCTTCCAAGCTTCGCCCAGGCCCAGAGCTCCCGCGGCCTGGCCCCAAGGCCCCTAAAGAGCATCACCAGCCCAAGGCAGCGGCCAGTCAGGCCCCCAGTGAGCGGGAACGGGGCCAGGCCCAGCCTCTGTCCACCAGGCCCCGGGCCTCCCCTGACCATGTCCGTCTCTGTCCAGCTGAACCAGAGGCCCACGGTGGACGAGCTGAGAGACAGGAAGATCCTGATCCGCTTCAGCGACTACGTCGAGGTGGCCAAGGCGCAGGACTATGACCGCCGGGCGGACAAGCCCTGGACGCGGCTGTCGGCCGCCGACAAGGTGTGCGGGCGGGGGCGGGGACGCCACTGGGGGTGTCGGGGCTCTCATGACGGGTGCTGCCGCGCCTGGGGGGACGCCCCGGCACCACAACTGGCCCAGCTGGTGCTTGGTCCCGGTCAAAGCAAACTTGGCTTGAGGCCAGCCCAGAGACCAGAGGCGAGTCCAGGCCTCTGCGGTGTGCCAGGGGGTTCCGCTCATGGTCACTCGGCACCTCCCGAGAAGCCCCCGGAAGGGCCGTGGATGTCACCTCTGGCCTCAGCACCCCAGGGTTCCTTCCCGAGCACCCGCCCGAGGAAAGGCCTCCTGAGGCCGGTTCTGTCCTGGGGGTCCAGACCCCCGGGAGCTTCCCGGCTTCTGGGCTGGCATCTCGGCCCCTGAGCTGCAGCTGATTTATTTCATCTTGGCTTTTGTTGGCTTGTGTGGGGGCCACACCTGGTGATGCTCAGGGGCTCCTCCTGTTTCCACCCCTGCTTCATCTAAGGCCACGTGGGCAGTGCTCGGGCCTCGCTCCTGGCGGGATGGGGACCCATGTGGGGTGCTGGGGACGGGGCCAACCGCGTGCGAGGCAGGAGCCCTTCCGCTTTCCTTGGTCTCTGCCGTGAGGACCGTGAGGTCTCCCACAGCTGCAGGGGCCAGAGGGGCGCCAGGGGGACACAGCGGCCGGCCGCCCTGCCCAGCCCCGTCCGCCCTGAGCTGTGGGAGCTGGAGCTGGGCCAGGCCAGGCCCCAGAGCACCAGAGGATGAGCGCCCCTTTCTCCTCCCGTTCTCTTGGGGAGTCTGTAGCAGTGGCCCGGGGCCCCTCTCCAGGGTCCTGGGCGAGCCAGTGGGGCAGCCCCGGTGTCCCAGTGGTCGGAGCCGGCAATGGCGTGCTGTGTGGACCAGGCCCAGGGCCGCTGCAGCAGCCAGAGATGCTGGTAGTCGGGCCTGGGAGCCTCCACGTTGGGCCACACCCAGATACCCCGCAGGGCGCCTAGGACGGTGCCTGGTTGACCTGCACGCCAGGCCAGGGCCTTGGGGCCTGAGCTCTCTGGTCCTCAGAGACGGCCTTTGCTCCTTCAGACACAAATACACGCTCTGCGGATCACAGGCGTCTCCTCGGACTGCGGGTACAGGACCAGTTGGTCCCTGGACACTGCACCCCCTTGTCCTGGGGTCCCCCGACACTGCACCCCCTTTTTCCTCAGGCTGTCGCTGTCTTCCCTCACCCAGTGATTATTAGAGTCCAGCGTGATGCTCTGAAGCGACACTGGGCTCTGACGCCGGAGTCTCAGGCCTGAGACGGGCTGGGGTGGCATCTGCCTTGTCGTGACCCCCCAGGTCCCATCCCTGGCATCCCATAGGTCCTCCAGCACCCCCAGGAGTGATCCCTGAGCACACCAGGTGTGACCCCCAAACCAAAATATAAACAGGAAAAGAAAATAAAAAACAGAGCCTGAAGGCAGAACCCCAGTGGCTTCTTTTTAAGCCCAATAATGATAATAATAATAATTCTTATTCTTGCTATTATAAATCAGCTGGTGTTGGGTACTGACCGCTACTATGATTCTCAGTCTTTAACGGTTTTTTAAACTTTAGGCAGCGATTCGGAAAGAGCTGAACGAGTACAAAAGCAACGAGATGGAGGTGCACGCATCCAGCAAGCATCTGACCAGGTCAGCTTGTGCACGGGGGCTGGGGACAGGACCCCTGTTGGCTGCCCTGGGGGCGGGGGATGGAAGCCCGTGCGGTCGGGCCTGGGTGCCCGGGGCTCTGCAAGCTCAGGGTAAATGAAGGCCAGCAGGGGTGTAGCCACACTGCCCACGCAGAGCTGACCCTCCCCTCCATTCCCTTTCTCGCCCAGCCCCAGGCAGGCGTCCCTCTGCCCCTCCCGCCCCCTGTGAGGTACTGATGTTGGGGAGGAGCCGGATGAGGGTCCGTTGGGGGCTGCTGGCTGCGTCCTCGCGACCAAGCCTTGACTCCCAGGAGCCGCTGGTGTGGGTGACGGTGGCAGAGATGGGACTCGAGCTGGTGGCAGGGATGGAGCTGCCTCTGCCTCTTGCCCAGCACTGCAGTGGCCATGGGCTGTCCCCGTCCCGGGGTGGGCGGGAGTGGGGGCACGCACGCTCAGACCAAGACAGGTGCCGGGTCCTTCTCCTCAGTCTGGGGATGCTCAGCCCACAGGGCAGGAGTCGGAGCTGGGCCAAGGCGGGGTCCCTCTGGCCAGCCCAGTGCAGCACCCCCCGACAGCTCATGGTGCCAGCCCGCAGAGTGGAGGGCACCGGTCTCTCACGGTGAGAGCCGCAGGTCTGCAAGCTGGCGGGCAGGCCAGGGACCAGCGCAGGTGCAGATGGAGTGGACGGGCCGGGAGGACAAGGGGCAGGGGGCAGGAGAGCATGAAGCCGGGAAATAGCCTTCCATGACCGGCATACTTTGGGGCGGGAATCGTTTTGCTTTGGGTTGTTCAAGGCATTCAAAACTGTGTTTCACAACCCAAGTGCCTGAGAACAGACGGCTGGTTAAAGAAACTTTGGTCCATCTACACGGTGGAATACTATGCAGCAGTTAGGAGAGATGAAGTCATGGAATTTGCTGATAAGTGGACGGTCCTGGAGAGTCTCATGCTGAGTGAAGTGAGTCAGAAAGGGAGGGACAGGCGCAGAGGCACTGCACTCATTTGTGGAGTAGAAGATAACATGGGACTGACACCCCAGGACCGTAGACGCAAGGGCCAGGAATGTTGCTCCACTGTTGGAAGCCTGCCTCAGGAGCGGGGGGAGAAGGCAGCGGGGATGGAGAAGGGATCACCGGGTCAGAGATGGTTGGAGGGACCGCTCGGGGTGGCAGAGCTGTGCTGAAAGTAGGTGAAGGACCACACGTGATGGCCTCTCAGTATCTGCATTGCAAACCATGATGCCCAAAAGCAGAGAGAGAGTCTGGGCGAGATTGCCTGCCACGGAGGCAGGGGGAGGGCGGGAAAGGGGGGGATACTGAGGACATTGGTGGTGGGGAATGTGCCCTGGTGGAGGGATGGGGATTTGGTCAAGGTATGAGTGAAACTCAAACATGGAAGCTTGTAACTGTATCTCACAGTGATTCAATAAAATTTTAAAAAATGTGTTTCAGTAAATCACCCAAAATTATATTTTCATATTAAGCTTTAAAAAATCTGATTTTGTACGTACCAAATAGTCAAACACACTTTCCCATCAGTCACGAGTCAGAGTTGTACTAGAGGGACCTGGCCTGATTCTTTGGTTGCTTTCTTTGTTGACACATTTAAAAAGAATTTTTTTTTTTTTGCTTTTTGGGTCACACCCGGCGATGCACAGGGGTTCCTCCTGGCTCTGCACTCAGGAGTTACTCCTGGCGGTGCTCAGGGAACCATATGGGATGCTGGGGATCGAACCCGGGTCGGTCACATGCAAGGCAAATGCCCTACCCACTGTGCTATCTCTCCAGCCCCTAAAAAGAAAATTTTTTAAAGTACCGTGATTTATATAAAGTTATTCATAGTTTGGTTTTATTATTTATTTATTTATTTATTTATTGCTTTTTGGGTCACACCTGGCAATGCACAGGGGTTCCTCCTGGCTCTGCACTCAGGAACCACTCCTGGCAGTACTCGGGGAACCCTATGGGATGCTGGGAATCGAACCCGTGTTGGCCACTTGCAAGGCAAATGCCCTACCCACTGTGTTATCACTCCAGCCCCCATAGTTCGGTTTCAGACATGATAATTCAGCCCCGATCCCACCACCAGTGTCACCCTCCCTCCCCCGGTGTCCCCAGACCCCCTCGACAGGCGCCTTTCTGAGTTCGGGTGTTAAGAGTTTGGGTCTCTGGACCTCAGGGTTGGTGACTGGTTTGGGGACTCAGCTCTGGCCTCCCGTAAGCCCACCTTGGTGCCTGGCGCCCCGACCTGCCCCGTTGCTGCTCACCTTACTCCCTTCCCCTCCCCTCCTCTACTCCTCCCTGTACTCTGGGGCCGTGGGTAACCCAGGCATCCCTCCCCCTTTAGGACACTGTCTTCCCTCACCCAGTGATTATAAATACCACAGATAAGTGATGCCATCCTGCCATCATCCTTCTTCTTCTGGCTCTCTTCATTTAACCTGTCTTCCAGTTCCTTCCACGTTGCTGTGAGTTGCATGCGTTCATCATTCTTACAGCCGTGTAGTATTCCGTTGTGTGTACACACGCATCTTCATGATCCCCTGACCAGTCATTGGACCTCCAGGTTGATTCCAAATCCCAGTTATTGCCCCGAGTGCTGCCGTGAATCACGGGGCGCGTGCCTTCTTTTGTATGCCTGTCTTTCTGTCCTGGGCATAGGTACCCCAAAGTGGAATTGCGGGGTCACACAGGAGCTCAGCTCAGAGTTTGCTGAGCCCACTCCACGGTTTCCCGGAGGGCTTGGAGCAGACAGCGTTCCTACCAGCAGTGGATGGAGGTTCCTTTTCCGCCCCTTCTCAACCAGCAGAGATTTCCCCGTGTTTTGGTTACGTGTGAGACGACATCTCTCTGTCATTCCTCACCATCCCAGGGTGACGGGTCCCCTGGTGCATTCAGGGCCAACAGATGATCGATGGACGAGGAAGGCTGCAGACAGATGGTCAGACAATGATCAACAACTTTTATTCCCGAACCCACCATCAGGCAGGAGGGGCCTCTCGATAGGGGGGACAGGGACGGACGGGAATGACACAAGGGACGCACAGCCCAGAGGAGGTTCCACACAGGCTCGGGGAAGTGTGAGTCTCCCTGGGGAGTCGAGAGCCATGGAGCACTGCAAGGGTGCAACAGAGGGTGGCCAGGAGCTCGGCCGACACAACCTCCTGCCCAGGGACCAGACCCGGGCTCAGCCCCGCTGCCCGGAACAGAGGCGCAGTGAATCGCCAACCACAGGGACGGCTCACCTTTGGGTGCTGCCCTTGGCCGTTTCTGGGGCGATGTCTCCAGATCTCTCTCACCTCAGGGAGGGTCCCGGATGTTTAGTCGACAGGCGGCACTGCCCAGATGGCTCGGGAGCCATGCCAGCAAGGACCCAGCCGTCACTGGTTTGGGTTTTCCCAGTAAGTCGTGGTGAGTGTTTCCTCCTGTTGGCGTCCGTTGGTCTTCCTCAGGAAGCGTCAGTTCATTTCCTCTCCCCATTGTACGATGGGGCGTTTAGATTTTTGTTGTTGTTGATCTTTATTCAACAATAAAGATTGTTGGGGCTGGAGTGATAGCACAGCGGGGAGGGCGTTTGCCTTGCATGCGGCCAACCCGGGTTCGATTCCCAGCATCCCATGTGGTCGCCTAAGCACCACCAGGAGTAATTTCTGAGTGCAGAGCCAGGAGTAACCCCTGTGCAATGCCAGGTGTGACCCCCCAAAAAGGGAAAAAAATACCAATAAAGATTGTTGTTGATCTTTATTGATCTTTATCGTTCCTGGATATCAGCCCTTTATCTGATGTGTTGACCACAAGTCTTTGCTCCCAGTCAGTCAGCTGCCGTTCAGTTTTAGCCCGTGTTTCCTTCGCCCTACAGAAAGCTTTAGCTTGGTGTGGTCCCGTCTGTTCAGTTTGGATTCTGTAGTCTTTGCCAGTGGCGTCACATCATTTGAGGTCTAGGTCTTGGAGCACTCTGCCTCGATTCTCCTCCGTGTAGATTCAGGTCTGACCTACACTTAGAGTTGTCTTTTGTGTAAGGTGTGAGATCTGGGCCCAGCTTTAATTTCTTGCACGTGGTCATCCAATCATTCAGCACCATTTGTTGGAAGTCTGTCTATATTCCATTTCGTGTTCTCAGCACCGTTGTCAAAAATTAGCTGACTGTATGTATGGGGGTTTATCCTTAGATTCTCTATTCTAGCCCATTGGAGAGAGTCTCTTTGTCGCAGTGACACACTGTTTTGATCACGATGGCTTGATGGTACAGCTTCGAGTTAGGTAGTGAGACGCCTCCCAGTTTCTTGCTTTTCAGCATACTTCTGGCTCTGAGGCATCTTCTGTGACTCCACGCAAACCCCATAATTGACTATTCTACGTCCTTGAAGAATGTTGTCTGGATTTGGATAGGGAGCGTGTTGAGTGTACATAGCACTTCAGGTAAGCTGGTCATTTTGACGACATTTATTCTTTCAAGCCACAAGCATGGAATATTTTTTCATTTCCTAAGATCTTCTTCAATTTCTTTCTTGAGTGTCTTACAGTTTTTAGGGTCGCTCACCTCTTTCATTCGGTTGATTCCTAGGTACTTGATGTTTTTGAACAGCACTTTATATGGGATAGACCCTTTGGTCTCTTTCTCCTCTGACTCATTATTTGCATATAGGAATGCTGCCAGTTTTCCTTTGGTTTTGACTCATAGCCAGCCACCACTTTGCTGTACTGGTTTATTTGGTAACTTTATAGGTTTTTTGTATATCTCTTGAGTTGATGCTTTAAGGCTCTTCCATGTATATCATCATGTCATCTGCAAGTAGAGATGATTTTATTTCCTCTTTTCCAATTTTTGTCCCTTTGATTTCCTTTACTGATTGCTGTTGCTGAGACTTCTAATACACTGTTGGGAATATGAGTGGGGACACTGGGCCTCCTGTCCTGTGCCTGATCTCAGCAGGAATGATTCCTGTTCTCCACCATTAAGAATGATATTGGCTGTGGGCTTTCTAGAGATAGCTCTTACCAA